ATTTATTTCCAAACCCTCACACGGCCTAGGCGCAAGCGTCATTCCATCCTAGTCGGACACAATAGGGAGTTTTAGAATAACATACGAAACTTTAGCGTACGGTAGCGCTAAATGTAGCACTTGTGCTAGCGCACGCTACGCAAGTGTGTTTTAGAATAGCGTTTCTTCACCGCGATGGAAAAGTCCAAGCATCTCGCGCTTGCAACGCCACCAAGATGCAGTAACAATTTTTATTTCACACACGAAATGCTGTAACCTGAGAGAAAAACATGATTTTCGGTTCAAAGTGACATTTTATATTTGTGCAATAAGGACTTGTAGTAGATCATTTTTTTCCTCCGCTACGGTAACCGTAAACAAAACGCCGAAGCTGCGCATGCGCTCCACCAGCCTTGTCTGCATAGTTTGGTGGATTACGGAACGCTATCCGGGTGCTTAGCGGGCTGCGGAAACGGTCTACTACAACTTCCTAATAGAGAGTTTTTGTAAACCGCGTTTCCCCCTCCGCTAAGCCCTCCGCAACGAAGAAGCCGCTACTGCGCCTGCGTGCCAATGGCCTTGACTGTAGACTTACGGGTATCGTATCAGTTTGTGGAGCGCTTAGCGGAAGGGGAAACGCGGTCTACGAAAACTCCCAATCAGGGAGTTTTCGTAGATCGTTTTCGTCGTCGCGCAACGTTCTCCGCAACCCGTTACGATGCCCAGAACTCTACAGCCAAGGCCACCGGCACGCAGGTGCAGCAGCGGCTTCTTCGTTGCGGAGGGCTTAGCGAAAAGAAGAATGCGGTCTACGATAACTCCCTATCATGAGAATGCGATGGGAGCGGTACACCAGTCGTGTCCGCTTGCGTCGCCTCAGCAAAAGAGATCTCGCCTTCGCCGAGAAACGTTCGCGCATCGGAAGCAGCCAGTTGCCGGCAATCGTTACCCACCTTGCTGGGTCTTCCAAAACGTTTCTGACGTGCACCTCCCATAGAAGTGCAATGTCGTCCTGTGTTGAAAATCGCAGCCGCTAGGATGTCGCCGACGTCGCGCTCATGACGCCTCCAAAGCGGTCAAAGTCGCAGTCCTGGGAGCCGCCATTTTTTAACTGTGCTCATCTTGGCTTTAGCCAACTTCTCATCACGAATCCTTCTTTGAGGAGCGCAAAAAGACTCTTTGAGTACGCACGCAATTTCTGAAAAATAGCGTACGCGAAAATAGGACTCGCAAAGCGCAAACTGAAGTTAGCGTTCGACGCATGCACAGTTGCAACGACGCTATTCCTTGCGTATGCGAAACTCTACTGTGCACTATTCTAAAACTGCCTAATACTTTTAACAGCTTCTCAAGGTGTATGATACCCTGACAGTAGCCCGCAAGATTCGTGCAAACGGCGTGCCATTCTGTGCCGTCCTGCACACCAGCTGATATGTCTCGCCGAGAGACTTTGTAGATTATGGTGTTTTAAAAAACTGTCGGCTGCTATCCTTCCCAAAAGCTTTCTCTTTCAGTTGTTCCCACCAGTTTCTGTTCGCGCTTTCTTAGAAAAAGCGATGACATTGTTGAACGGGCCCAACTATGCTCCGCAGTCGTTACGGTTTGCAGCTCGCAGGAAAAAGGCCAAGGCACACATCAATGTTTTCCTGGAACTTTTCTGACAGCATATTTTTCAACTGATTCACTCGGAAGATTTCACTTATGAACGGAAACTCGTCCGTAGTGAATCTAGCTCCGACAAGAAAGGCGACCCTGTACAGAACAGTAAGACGCAACGATACTATGACAAGGTTGGAAAAGTATAAGTGCATATCAGTGTTACGGATTTCCTTCCGACCATTAATGACGTCTCTAACATAAAAACGTAAACAACTGCATAACTTTAAAAAAAAAGGAGTGAATGGTGAGTTCACAGTCTTTTGTAAGATATCATACGAAGAAAACTAGGGGTAGGAGCTACAAATCGTGGATCCTAAATTGGTCTGTGCATCCAAAGCCAACCTGGTTTTGTCTTTTTTTTTTATATCCAGTTTTTAGTTTTGAACCGTTGTGAAAAATATTGTTCCGACAACGAAAATGAACAGATGCCGTATCCGACCGAGAGCGAACATGGCAACCTCACACGAGCTTACATGCTGGCATCAAGCGTACGTGTCCTTGCCATGTTCTCTTTGGCGTCGCTTCGTTCTCCCCTGCGCCTTAAATTACAAATTAGTTCCAACTCGCGTCACAACCATCTGACAAATATCAAACCGGGTCCAACATCAAAAAAAAAAAAAAAAAAAAAATTTCGGATTTCGTTGAGCGTCCTTCGAAAGCTAGAGTCAACAAATTTGGTACGGCGTTGTTCGGAGGAAGGCGACCGACACCGCACGACAAGACGCGCGGGGCAACCGTTCGTGCCTTTCCTAACGTTGTACAGTCGAACATCGTAACCGCACTACCGATCAAAAGGGCCGAAGAGACCAGTGGTGAGACCTGGGGGGGAAACGCTCGCCTCGACAAACATCGACCCAACACTGAGGCGGGCCCGCCACTGAGTCGACGCTGGCGAGGCGAGAACGACAGGACGACCCTTCGGCGACTCGGAGAGCCTCGATCGTGCACGCGCTGCTAAAGCCCAACGCAAGGGGCGACGAGCGTGTGCTCGGGCGTCCGAAGGAGACGCCCTGTCGTTCTCACCCTGCCAGCGCCCCACTACAATGAGTCAGTCGGCCAACGGGTCGATCGCTGCTCGCGCGTGCAGCCGCCGGATCCATGGGGAAAGCCGGCCGCGAGACGCCGGTGAGACCGAAGCCCGCTCGCGGCGGCCGACAGCGCGGCGCCGCCCAGAGGGCAAAGGCACGTAGGGGCGTACGGCACGCCGCCGGTTCAACGGCGCCCCGTGTGCCTAGATTAGGGTGTTTTCAACTGCTCCATCGGGGTCTACAGTGGTTCATAGAAGAGGTCGAAAGCGTTCGTCGTCTGCGAGCGTCTCTGCCTTTCCGTCCGCTTCCCTCCTCTCCACGCGACAACGCAACGCATGCGCACTAGCGGCCCGCTAGGACTGCAATCGCTCTGCATGGTTTGAGTTGCCCCCTCTCTCCGATCCAGGCTCTCCGCGGCGTCCCGTTAGCAGCAGCAGGCGCCCCTTGCGCGCTCAGCCGCTTCCGTCCGCCGGAGACCAGCTGGACGGGGCAGGCACCGTCATCGGGGGGAAGTGCGAGCACCGCGGCTGCCGCCCATCTGCCCACCAGCCCCGCGGCAGCTGTCGCCGTACGATGCCCCCTAGCCGCGCCCCACACTACACCGGGCACAGGCACAACACAACGCGGAGACCCGGGGAAGAAGAAAGAAAAATCGGACGCCTTGCTTCACAGGGAAGCCTCCTCTCTCCAGAGGGGGGACGGATCGACAAAACCCGACTCTCTTCGTGCAAGCTCCGCACCGTCCTGCTTCGATCCACACGGGATATCCAACCGAAAAGAAAGCAGGGCCTGTTCCGTTTCTTATTCTTTTCTTCTTACCAAAACAAAACTAGCGAAACCCGCGTCCAGCCTAGGCGTATTACAACGTAGTGCCTCGTTGCCGTTTAGGATGCTTCTCCAGAAAGGCACAGCGGCCACTGCAGAACGACAGCGAGAGACGGCCAGGCTGCAGCGAGAGCTCGAACAGAAGCGGGGGTTCACACGCCACAAAGCAGGCAGCGGGTTCGTGCTCGGGTCAAAAATAACCCTCACGGGCAGAAGTTTTGTTTGCAGACGCACGCTTTCGCGGCACGCCAATCGCACACCGCAAGATGCCCCCGCAGCCCATCTCGTGGTGTCACTGACCAGACGTGCAGAGAGAAGCGGCGAACAACTGCCTCGTAAAATGAATCACGGCCAGCGGCGCGATATGATGTCTCGCACGTCCCAGGTAAGCCCGTTCGTCGTAAAAAGGAAATGGCTACTGCGAACGGTAGAGCGCGAACCCCCGTTTGCTTTTCTTTTCTTTTATCTTCTTTTTTTTTTTTTTGTTGATCATTGGGCGAAAGGGAGGAGCATTTGTGCCCGGGCGTGGAGTTCCGTTGCCTATGGCAACGACCGGCGTGCAAAAACAAAACCGCGCCGAACGCACACGAACAGACCGCAACGCACGTACTGTACTCTCCGACGAAGACTGCAGAAAAACGCCTAATGGTCGACGCGCGTCGCTCAAAAAACGCATAACGCTTCCGCCGCTAGCTTGCATGCATGGGGGAGAAAGTCTCAAGAATAACTAACATCCAACACAAGAGGAGCAAAGAGAAACAAGAGCGGGAAAGTTACCCCCCGAGAAACAAAAACAAAATACAAAAACCCAGCCTCCCGCAGGCACCATCCTTCATCGCCGGAGAGATGGGACGACGACTCTCGCGACGCTGGGGTTGCGTCTAAAAACGAAAGCACCGTTCTAAACACTAGAAGAAAAGAAAAAAAAAAAGCGTTGGGTTGCTTCGTTGCTCGTAGTCCAAATGCGTCGACCAGACTCCCGCTACGTCTACGCTCCCAGCCAAAGATAACGCAGAAAACGAAAATGAAGAACACTTCATTCGGGATTAGTCTCTTCACCGTCCAACACACCTATTCCCAGTCACGTCCAAGTACACAACGCGCTAAACTCACTGAGAGGATAAAAACTTCAGGGAGGTCGTTCGCACGTTCCGCCTCCCCAGCGCCAACTTCCTACCTTCCATACCGGTAACGAGTGCGAGCAGGAAAGCGACTCATCCTTTCTCATCCTGTCAATAGGGAGTTTCAGTAGATCGTTCCGATGACCCCGATAACGACACCCGATACCCCGTCGGCGCCTTTGCACATGCGTCGGGTATCGTTATCGGAGATATCGGAACGGTCTACCAAAACTGGGATCGTTCTGGTATCTCGAACACCCGATCCTCCGCCGGCACCTTAGCGCATGCATCGTAACGTTATGGGGTATCGGTATCGTAGCTATAGCAACGATCTACTAAGAGATAAAATAAGTAGCAGCGCGCCGCGCATCTCGGAGGGGGCGCTCACCGGAACCGCTCTCCGAGCTGAAACTGGTGATGCTGCTGCTGGTGATGGTGGTGCGCGATCCGAGCAGCCACGCAGCCGTGCTGCTGGAGCCAGGGCCCCACCAGGGCAGAGGGCGGCGATAGCACGGCCACCGCGTGCACCAACCCGCCCAAATGGGACGGAACCGAGCGTCCCGGCCGCATCGCGTACGAACCCGCGGTTCGGGCAAACAGAACCGACTCCCTCCAACACGGCGTCGGTGTACAGTCCTCTCTCGCTGGCGGCGGCGTCGGCGTCGGCACTCCACCGCAGCTCGGAAGCGGGGCCCGCTTTGCCCAAACAGCGGCGGCGGTGCTAGCCCCTTTCCACCCCGAGGGGCCGTCTCCTCAAGGCCGGGCGGCGCTCTCTTCGTTGCCCGATCGATGCCGCCGGCTGCTCCCCTCTACCCCCCCTTCCCCTTTCTTTCCCCCGTGCTCCCATTCATCTCTCCGACAGAGCCAACACGGCCGGCCAGGGGAGGACGGTGGACTGCGCGCTACGAGCACGGTATCGCACCGCCAAGGGCGGCCTCTTCCACTCGCTCGCGAATAGTCGCGGTAAATTTGCTGCGAGAGGGGGATCTTTTCTCGACGTAACCTACCCTGAGACTAGGCAGAATACAATAACCGATATACAACAACACAAAATCTCAAATTCATTTTCTTTTTTTTTTACTTAGAGTTTAGGTTATGCTGTTCCTTACCAGCTCGACTGCCTACTGTCGCTTTTGCAGTAAAGTTTTAGTAGACGAAATCCGTCGCTGGAGCTGAGTTGCCGGGACGATCCACTCAAGCTCCCTAATATACTCTCAACTCGTTTTCTCGTGGATAGGAAAAGTGATAACAACCGTTTTGCAACTCGAAGGAAAAAAAAAAAAACCCAAAGAGTCACCCCCCCTCGCGTCAGTCTAGCTCATCCGTCCGTGGTTGTTCCTCCGCCGCCCGTCAAAATAGTTAACACAAATTTAAATGTCCTACAAAAAAAAAAAAAATTAAAACACATTATTGCACGCTTTTTTTTTTCTTTTTTTACATAAACGATTAAGGTAATCCTCTGCGCTAAGTGAAAATCAATAACGTTCCGTGAGAAGCGCGCTATTTCGAAAGAGTGACACGGGGCGAATGTCTAGACGTTGGTCCGATTCGTTAAATTCCCACTTTCCCCCACCCGCCTTCCTTTCCCCAAGAAATGCAATATATTATAGAGCGCGTCCTGACAGCGAGCTTTCATCGAGTTTTCTTCGCGCCGGCAATGCTGTAGATTTTGGCATTCGTGCGCACCCACGCTTTTGAACTGCTCAAAACTTATCATAGGAAATGCAGTAATATTTACGCGCAAAAAACGCTTGCGCTCATCAAAAAAAAAAAAAAAAAAGGATACAAAATGGCTAGCTGCCTCTAAATAAGTGTGTGCGCGTACGAAGGCAACCCGGCCTCCCTAGATGGTACCGCAGTCTACGGTTAATTCCGTCCTCCGCTCCAAGTAGCCTCTCGCCTTCTGCCGGACGCAACACTGACGTCAGGCGCGCTTCTAATCACAACCGTCGCCGCATCGTCACCTGGCTCCTGGGCCACTGCCATCTGCGGCGGTCGTGCGTGCGTCTGGAGAGCGCTTGCCAAAGCGGTCAACGCGCGCGCGTAAGCAAACAAAAACCGCTTTTTTTTTCTCTTTGTTCCTGCACGCTCTGCTGCAAATTTAGACTCGTTATGCAGCGGGTTCAGGCTTCCACGAAACTGCTGGCGACGGGCTCGTCCGAAAGCGTCGTTGCGGTCGGCATTCGCGATGGGCCAAACGCTCAGAGTGGCGTCTTTATTCGGATTCGGGCGTCTCGTGAGCTTGGAGCGTGCACGTGCAGCCAAAGCACGACGGAGGGCAAAGAGCGCGAGCTGGAGGCATCAGAAAGAAACGTTCTGCCCTTTTCATCCCGTCAGTGACTAGGGAAGAACACAGTCGTGAGCTGACCGAGCGCACACTCAAATGACAGTCAGCGAAGCTGCTCTCGCGTGGGATATTGGCATTGCCCAACCCGCTAAGCACGTACACCAAAAAAGTGTTTCGGGTGATACTATTCTGGAGCAGCATCATCGCCGAGCACAAAAAATAGGCAGCGATGAAAGTGCTCTTGTGCGCCGTTTTGCGCTCATTTGACCGGTAGCGGCGGGCAATGGCGGTTGCCAGGCGATTTGCAGGTAACGCTTTCCCGTTATTAACACCCCCTCTATCTTAGTACACTTTCGAAACGAAGTAAGGAAACCTTCCCTGAGAGCCCGAAACACCGCGATTTAGTCGATTCTTACGATATAACGATACCCGATACCCGAGCGGCGCCTTTGGTGCATGCGTCGTATCGTTATCGGGGCTATCGGAATCGTCTGTTAAAACTCCCTAAAACGCCAGGAGCTCGAGCGCTAGCCTCGACAATGATTCCTTCCGCAGTGTCTCAATGAACGGACGGTTCATATCTTATCGAGTAAGCCGCCCCAGATCTTAGCACTCTCATCATGAGATCGTGAAGCCTGTCTCCTACTCGTATTCGCACGCGAAAGACTGGAAAATAAATGGCGGTTGCGCAACAAGCCACAAAGATGGCGGTCTGAACTTCAAAAACTGTCGCTAGGTGAAACGCCGCTGTCAGTGACAATGTGTAACACTGCCCTGTATATGGCGTGACCTTTGTGTAAAACGTTTTCGCAAACTCTGATCAAAATTTCGCATACTTAAACGTCCTTCGTGTATATCCGCAGCGCGGTCCGAAAAAGATACCGTTAGGACTGTAAACTCCAGTCGCTAGACATTTGGAGAAAGTTAGCCTTCTGCGCTGGCAATAGGAAGGACGACGACTCAATTTAGCGAGACTTCTCCGACATTGTCGTTAACTTCGGTTCCGCCTGAAAAAACGATTGCCGTAATGGCAAAAATATGTCGCACCAACGTGTCCGTCGATTTATTGCACTCCGCGTCGACTGACTGACAAGAAGCGAAGAAAAATGTTCACTGAGCGATAGCTTCCACCGAACGCGCCAAACACACACCCGGCGCACGCGCATTCTGTTCGAAGCGAATGATGTTCGCGTCTCCCAAAATAGTACAGAAAAAGAAAAAAAAAAAAGAAAGAAACAATCGCGGCCTTGTTTCGATTAATCACCGAACGACCGCAGACTGGCGACCTTGCTGCGCAGGTGCATAGAAGCGCAACACCGAGGGCTGTGGCAACGCTTTCGACGGGAAGCCCGCCAACCCAGTAACGAACAACGCCGTGTGCCCGTCGCCACATTATCCCTGCATGCGCCGTGTCTCCATCAGAGCTAAGTAAGGGCTCCAAAAGCCAGAACGACCTCTGCTACAGCGATCTAAGGTGGCTGAAGCGCTTCGTGTTCGTCTCTGTTTGCGCTTACAAGTTTCCTGGGCACCATGCAACAACCAGATCAAGTCGATCAGTCAACTACGACGTGGAACTCGCAAGAACTTTATTTGTGTGCATGTGTCAACGGGGCTGGACATACATAACTCCCACAGTATTTGTCACGGTCGTCACGTGCTCTTGAGCCTACTTTCACGGCTTCGTCTGTAGGCCATCAGGCGCTGTGAATATTGCCGCGTGCGAATGCGGCATCCTGCGTCCGAGCCGTTACCAGGGGCGTAGCCAGGGCGGAGGCTTCAGCCCCCCCCCCCCCCCCCGAAACAAAATTCCTGGCTACTCCACTGGCCGTTACCAATCGCACAGCGAACAGCGCCGCGCGCGACCACTTTTGAGTCAGCGTAGGGAGAGCGGTAGAGGTCGGCCGCCGATGCACGCTGTTCCCGCGCTTCCGCCAATGTGGTATCCCAAGCAGGCATGCCGACCTTGCAACACACACCGGTGTACCACTGCACTTGAGCTGCGACTGCCGAGGTAGCTGCCCGATGAGTACGCACGACGCCACCGCGAGAGGCGCGCGTACAGGCACCGAGTTAAATCTGCAGCTCGACTCCGACACGTCGCTGACTGAGGTTCGATCCCCGCCAGCGCTCGTCCTTTTTATCTTTCTTTTCTCTGCATGACTGGAAGATTCCAAATGACTCGAGAATCTTGTTGTTTCTTCGAGCTCGAAAACTTCTTGCAAAATGGAGCTTCGCATGGCTGCTTGAGGCAGTCGACCTTCCGTCGCCGTCAAAGTATGTATATGTGGTCTTTGTTGCTTTGTGTTTCTCGGCACAGGTTCGCCGCATTAAACGTTCATTTGAAGTCTTATTAATCGAGTTAATGTTCTTATTCGAGAAAACTGGCGAGCAGCGAATCTGACGCTACAGTTTTCTACTCTAGCCGCTAGGTGCCGTCGATTCTGCGGCAGTCGTCAATGGGCCGCAGGTGGGGCATGGACGCATCGGTGTTGGGCAGTTTACTATAATTAAGATCGCCGAGAAACCCAGGGATCCTGGATTCAACCCCCCTGCCAGTTTCGGTCTGGATGAGCATCGCGTCGACGTGTGGTCACGTACTGCGAAAACACTATAGGCACCCACTGGGGTTGACCAACTTTCCACTGTCTGAACATGTACATACAACACAATTATTATAATTAGGAGTGGACAGACGGGACGCAGCTAGCCACAAGACGTGATCGTCAGTTGTTTCCGTCTTCCTTGCCGTGCTAAAACGCCAACCATAAACCAAACACCGGCAAGACTTTTAGACTTGGGCTAGGTGGCGCAAGCTACCGCCCGTTACCAACGGTACAGCCATTAACATCCATCCATCCAAGATAAGGCGGTGCATGCAAAGTCTCAACTTCGGTGGTGAGTTTCGCCGCCGATGACGGCATACAAAGAATATGACAAAGCGCCGAGGTCGTAGTGTTCAGCACCCACCTGCTTTGCATACTGTACATTGTGCCACACAGTTAGGGCGAACGTTCCAGTTTGGGGTGAGTAAAAAAACTTACGTTCTCGTTCATTTCACGGCAAACACGACTTTCAATCATGATTCATGGCATACCGTTAGCCTGTCCACCTAAAAAAAAAAAATGCTTTGCTTGGCGTTCTCATTTCTGCGAGAATGTAATGTAGCTTGACCGCTCTGTTAACATTCATTGCACGGTGAATTTGACCCCATTAAACACTCGTGTAGCTATTCAGTTTTGCTGAGAAGTACCACACGAAAACAACAATATCGTGACAACAGCCATGTTTATTTTTAAAGCGGCCCATTAGGGTAGCCACCCTTGAAACGTGTGCTGAGCGATCAAGGACTTGAACATTTGTCAATGGTTGTTTTAAATATAAAATCGACAACAGGCAAATATTTTCTTTTCCCTTGGTAACATTAGAATACAATAAT